AGCTGCACTGCTTGGATCTGCACGCATATTACGAAAATACGTTACGACGTCCTAGGCCCCTGGGTGGGGCCCAACTAGTAACCAATGCCAAATCCATTAATAATAATGGATCCGTTAATAATAATAATAATAATAACAACAACAACAACAGCAACAACATACGAAAAATATTGGTAGTGCGTAGAAAATGTGCACATTGACAAAATTTCCATCTGTCAATTTATAAAAGGCCATATTGCTTGAATCTGTGCATATATTATATTGACACATTACAACATCTTACATTCTGGGGAATAACTTGATATGCTTTTAAGTCAACACCAGCTAAAGAACTGGCAGCTTTGATTGCACATCAATAAAGGAGAATATTTGTAGCTCAGGGTTGAAATAAGGGATCCTTGGTGCTTCCTGAACTTGCTTGTTTTCTTGCAGATGTTTCATTACCCTAACTAGGTAACATTATCAGTGCTAGTAAGGAGTGTTGTTTCCTGTCAATTTATATTCTGGTGATTTGCCTGCTTATGTGTTTATGTGTGTTTGTGTGTATGTGGGAGGGTCTTAGAGATTCTTTTGTTGGGCAGGTTACTGATAGCTCTTTGGCAGTTTGTTAATTGATTGTTGGTCTGAAGTTGACCTTGGATTTAATCTATGCTGACCTGAGTACTGATTACTGGTGGAGAGATGCTGGAATCTTTTTCTCTTTTGGGCTGGTTGATTGTCTTTTTTGCATAGTCTATAGATGTTGATAATGCCTATGTGTCTATTGAGGGCTGATTTGTCAGAATGCCAGGCTTCTAGAAATTCACTGGTGTTTTTGGATTTGGCCTGTTCTAGGATTGTCACATTTTCCCAATTGAAACTATGTTTCTGTCTATAAGTTGTGAAATAAAAAAAAAATGTTGTGCCTTCTGAAAGTTAATTGCACATTGTTGTATGTATAATAATAAATACAATCACTGGAGGCTCTGTAAATATTTTCATGTGTCAGCAATAAAAAGTTGGTGGGACCATATAGTTGAAAAAGTAGTCAAAATGAGCAGATTAAAATATTGTGTTATTTCTGCTTACAAACTGATAGTCATGATATAATACACCAGATTTAACTGTGGTTGAAAAGAAGAAAGCGTGGATAACTGATGTGATAATATCAGGGGAGGGTAGAATAGAGACAATGAATTGGAGAAGATAGCAAGTATGAAGATCTGAACATAGAAGAGCGAAGGCATAACCTTATGGCAGTTCCAGTAAGTGTCTGTACACTGGATGCCATACCAAAAAAAATCATGGACAGCACTTAGAAAATCTTGAAAAAAAAATTCATCTGTTTATTACAAAAAGCCACATTTTAAACATACAATATATACCAATAGATTAGTGATATCTCAGGTTCATGGGAAGACGTTGATGTGGATGAAGACCAATGCCAGTTAAAGAACTGGCAGCTGTGATTCACATGTTGTGTATATTAGAAGAGTTACGAACTTGGGAAAGTTCCAATATTCAAAAGTAGCAAATCCTGTCAGATCTATCTGGCAAACTATTTGTAAACAGTAGCAGTAGTAATAATAACAACAATAAATTAGCATGAAAATCTCTTCACAGTTTTTTTTCCTGAGAAAGCTTTAATAAATGATCCATGTCTACAGTTTCTAAAGCTGCTGCTTCCATAAGTGTGGGCAAGACAGAATAAAGATCTTACATCAAAAGATCTTTCAGAATATCTGATACTCTATCAGAATAAAGGTTACATCAAATTCAGAAGTATAAAAATTTGCCTTCACATTTATCATAATGTTCATATAGTAGGGAATGTAATTGTTATAGCCCTTAAATAATATGTTACTCCATAGTTTCTACATCTATTTTTTATTGAAAGCTGATCTGGCAGGGACAACACTAAGATTATCCCTTTTTTGTCTATTTCATTCATTCATTCATTCATTCATTCATTCATTCATTCATTCATTCATNTACAAAATGTACCTTCTGTACTATAATGTGGAAATACTCAGTCCTTGCTGCTATATCAAGAAGAGGTTTTCATCTCGTCTTACCGTGTTCATAAGGAGAGAAGGTGCCTGCATCAATGTTAATGTACGGGTCAATTTTAATGGAAGTGACGTGTAATCCACATGATTTGAGGATCGTCCCAACGCTGCTGGCAATGATTCCTTTTCCAATCCCTGAGATGACACCGCCTGTTACCAAAATGTACTTCATTTGTTTCAATGTCTAAAAAAAGAAAAAAAAAGTTGAGTTTCATAAAATATCGCCAATAAATATAACCACATTTATTGGTTTTGGCATTGATCAATCTTGCTGACCAATACATATCTCTTAACATAAAACAAGATTATATTTATTGTATATCTTGCAGATTTAAAGCCAGTGTTCAATTTTACATTGTTATTGATTTGGCTGCCCATTTGTTTTCCATATAAGATTACACTTTTTCTTTTGTACTTGTCTTTATGTTTTACAAGCTACTTTGTCTATATATGCAGTACTGTTTAATAAAATAAAGCGCCATGCTTCCAGTTCATTAATACTAATGAAAATCAGACCCACTTTCTACTTTTGCCTCTCCCCATAAACTGGCCCTTTTAAGGAATTAGCAACAAACACACCTTCAGGCTTTATGGTCTCTACCATACATAACTTAGTACCAAGTTACTCACTTTGAGAAAGGTCAGAACAACTAAAGACTTTAGCAAACTATTCTATTTACAATCCTTCATTTTCTTTAAAACAGTGTGTTCCAACCTTGACACACATCTTAAGGCTACCAAGGTTGAAAAACAATGTTTTATTAAGAGGATCATGAGACAGCAAAGCGCATGTATTCCCAGATCAATGAGGCTAAAAAAACAGTGAAAATGGGAGCAATTGCTAATTCATTTTATATATCTTTTTATTCCACAAAAGAACATCATATGGGTCCATTATACATTAAAATAAACGAAGAACACAATGGATCAGGAGAAAGGTTAGAAAGACAGCAGCAATTAAATATTTCACATCAGATTAAAAATCTGAAATTAGAAAGCCTCGGTTATAGGTATTTAAACTGCCTAGAGTCGCTTAAGTGTGAGGTGATATAGAAATTGGATGGATGGGCAAGCGGACAGATAAACAGATAGATAATATAGAGGTATAAGGTAATATTCTCAATGAAATCATGGAAAAAGCAATACAGGTAAAGGTAAAGGTTCCCCTCGGACATATGTGCTAGTCGTTCCCAACTCTAGGGGGCGGTGTTCATCTCCGTTTCAAGAGCCAGCGCTGTCCGAAGATGTCTCCGTGGTCATGTGGCCGGCATGACTAAATGCCGAAGGCGCACGGAACGCTGTT